TTTATTCTCATGAACGCACACACATACATCCCCACATCGATCTGTAATCTCATGCACAAGACCCTGAAAGAGTTAACAAACACCACCTTTAGTAGAAAAAAACTAAAGAAAGAATATTATATTTGCTTCAGTTTGTTTTCATACCTTGATGACTAGAGTTTCTAGGTTTGGAGATTTCTTGAGCAGAAGTGGCAAAACTTGCCAACCCCGTTCCTTGTGGCTCTCAAAAGATAATTTAACGAGGTTGTTGAACTCGGGCATAGATTTACAACAGAAATAAAACACCTGAGGATCAAAATTAAAACTGAAACAAGTAAACATGTGAGTAGCAATATATTACAACAAGGAAAGAAAAGAGTAGAGTAGGAAAGTGACCTCAAGAGAATCAGCAGACAAATGAAGGGTCACAACATTCCTTACCGCTGCAATGAGTTTGGTTGCATCACACCAAGCATCACCCTTGGTAGAATCATACCCAAAATATTCATCAGCTGGTGGGTATAATCATTATACTTCCATAATACAAGATCTAGTCTAGCCTCGACAAGCGAATCCCATTGGACAAAATAATCTTGAGCCACATAGCTAGAGTAGTCAAGGTACACAAGCTTGGGCGTCTCAATGGCCTGCCATGAGTGGTCTGCTAGATCATGAGAACGGTAAAAAATGGATATTCTCAGAACCCGCAACCTGTTTCATCCAACCCGGTTCAAGAGGTTGATCATCACGTATGTTATATTCCTCAAGCAGAGGGCTAGCCAGGAGGCAGTCATTCAAATCAGCAGCTGTAAACGCAGCAAAACACACTTGAAACAGAGAGAGAGTTTTGAGCGCAGGGAAAAGCACACCGCCCCCCGGAGGAAAATGTTCTTGGTAATAACATCCATGGGATAGAGTGAGTTTAACCAATGTCTTGCTGAAGAATACCTCAGGCTCTATACATTGAAGTCCTGATGACAAATGTAGTTCCAATACTTCGCGTTTCAACACTTTGGAGATCACATGGTTGTACCGAGACTCTTCGGCTAGAGATCTCCGGTTCAAAGAGAATTTCTTGATGGGAGAATTACCTAACAACATAAGGGTTCTCT